AACAGCTGTAAAGCTTGCCCCCTCAAACTTACCTCAGTCCTGTGCGCTGAGAAGCAGAGAACTGTCCAGTGAGCAGTAAACTGCATCACCTGTAATCCCTGCAGCTCATGCCTCCTCCATGGTTAGCAAACACTGCAGCTCTTTCCTTCCTTACAAATTCCACCATTGATAACTGAACCCCAAAATGTTGTTTTCCTGAGAGATAGCTGCTGTGCAGATCTGGGCTGTGTTACTTCTTGGCATTGACACCAACCACTGAGTTCCCGAGATGATGAGCTCGGTGTGTGTTTACAGAAGTTTAGCACCATTTGATTTCTCTGCATCTGCCACACAAACCGAGGCTTGTGCCTGCTTAGCAGCTCCCTCCACTGGCCCTGCCCGTTCCCTGTCCAGCAGGGGAGGCAGCTCTGGCTTGCCCCTTGGTTTTGTGCAAGCACCAGCCGGGCTGTGAGTGCACATTCCCGAGGGCACTGAGCACAAGCAAAGCAAACAGCAAAGGGCATCTGGCTGTGGGATGTGGAGCCTACCCACTCCTGCTGCTCCAATCCAAGTGTTTGCCCCGTGGCTCTGTCCTCCGTCCCAAGACGTGATGCTGGATAATTCCCATGGGAGCACATGGAGCTGTGTCACTCCCAGGCTGGGCACCCCCATCTGGGACTGTGAGCACACCTCAGAAATACAGCTCAGGACAGGTTGCATTAGGATGACAAGTTAAAGTCTTGGAGACAAACAAAGCAGGACCCTTTGGGGTGCACGATCAGCCATGCTACATCTCCTCAAATGTTCCTGCCTCCCGCCAGAGGCTGTCTTTGGCTACTTCCCAGCCTTAGACCCTGCAAAGGCTGATCCTGCATTTCTGCACAGGCAGCTTTTGAAAGCAGGTAACTGTCAGAACCCAGAAAATCCCTCGGCTGTCCTGAGCAGCCAAGACCCCTGCCAGGGGGCTCAGAGACCCTGGCACAGAGCCCAGAATACCTGTGGTTTTGATTATGACCCATGGAGCAAATTACCCACCTTAGATGAAGATCTGCATGCCATGACAAATTAAGTAGAATGATAGTGACTTTATCATGAGGTGGAAAAGTAGATTTTGGGGTTTTTAGAATGGGAATTCAGAGGGGCAAGATGGAGGGATCTGGGTGTGTCCAGCCTTTCTTCTTCTTCTTGGCCTCCATCTTCTGCTGTGATGTTGGCACTTTTAGATTGGTTTAGAGTCGAAGCTCACTGTCTAACATAGGTGATAGAAAGTAATTGTAAATGGTGATGGAAAGTAATTGTAAACATTGTATATGTAATTTTTAGTATAAAGACATAACACCACCCCAGGGCAGGCAAGTGCCTCTGACTGTCTTGCTGAGAGGACCTCAGCTGGGCAGGAGAAAGAATTTTATAGATAAGATACAATAAAGAACCTCGAGACAGAGAAATGAAGCACTCTGACTCCTTCTTTAAGTGCCAGGCTGGGAAGAGAGACTTTCCAACTCTTCTTGGGGTCACTCTGACCAGCTAGAGACCCTGACAGGTAACAAGGCTGGTATTGCAGCCTTTCAGGTGGGCTCTCAGGGAATTTCAGGGGCTGCAGCTTGAGCACAGTCTGCCAAGCAAGTGGTCAAGGCATCAAGGCACCAGCTGGGACAGCCCTTGCAGAATGTTTTCCTGCCTGCTCTGTTGTCCTCACGCCTGCCAGGGTGGCACAGTGCCTGCCAGCCTGCTGCCAATCCCCTGTCACTGACAGCCCAGCCAGGGCTACTGCCATGGGACACCCACTTCTTGCTACATATTCACTCACTCCTGTATGGAGGTGTCTGGAATATGCTCACACTGTGGTCTCTCTGGTCAAAGTCTTCTGTGCTTAGAAAATAAATACCCAGCAAATTCTTTGAGCACCCCTGGGAGCATTTATCCAGAGCTAGAGATGGTGAGGGGAGCTATGCCTTACCAAAACTGTACTGCAAACATACTTTGTCCTGCTCATACCTGCACCACATTCCTTTGGATGAATGCCTGAGATAAGATCTTGTCCCATGTGGGAAATCTGGAGCATCCTGATCTGTACAGACCCCAATTTAAGCTGAACCTCTGAGGAGGGTGACCTCTGTAGCTGACATGTAGGTCAGCACAAATGCATTCAGGTTTTGTGGTCAGTGCCCTGGATCTCCAGAGCAGCTCCTTGCCAGTATGGGGCATCACCTTCATCCCCCCACCCTTCTGTAAGGACCTGGTGCACAGTGCCCACCTGTGCATCACTCCATGGCTGTGGTGTGAATAAATCAGAGCCTTGGAGGAGATGATACCTGAGGGGCCTTGCAGGGTAACTTGCAAAGACTGATGAGAAAAGTATCACGTGAAAGAGCTCGGGATTTGCCCAGGAGCTGCAGTTCAGTGTTCCTCCCATGGCACCCTCGGTTTGACCTCCCAGAGCACTACAGATATGAGTCATGATTGCTCACAACAGCAGCCGTCAGCAGGGGGATTCCTTAGGTGTACTTTCATTTGCTGTGCCAAGTTACCACACTGCAGAACCACCAAGGTCTTGGCACTCAGAAAACACGAGGAAATTTAAAGCTTTCTTCAAACATACAGGCCAGAGCTATGCATGGTAAATATTCACATGGCTCAGGCTGTTTCAGGGGTGGCTGTGCAAGCCATATGCTGGGCTTAAGCTCTCTTGACAAGCCCCAGGAAAATGTATTTTAGTTTCAGGCTCAGCAAGCTGTTACTGACATAATTCAGTCAAAATACAACATGATCTAGAGGAATCTCACTGCCTGCTCACTTTCAGGGTAACACCCCTTGCCATTTGGCCATGAGTAGGTTATCTTGGGAAAACCCCAGATGTTTCTAAGAAAACTAAAAGTCATGCCCACATGATATAATAACTTTCAGAGAGATTGAACCTGGGAAGTTTTACCTGGGTCTTGCCCAGGCTAGTCTGTCTCAGGACCAGATGTCCTTTTCCCCACAGATGTCTCCAAGGCAGCTTTTCCCAGATCTTTCTTTCCTTAGCTGTGTTCATGTAGTTGGAGCTGTAAAAGCCAGGTGGGTCAAATTCCTATGGTCAGACATTGCCATAGTGACTTTCAGCTTTGTGCTTTACTGACCCCCTGAAAGTTCAGCAGGGAAGAGCTGTTGGTAACAATCTCTTGTCTGCTGGAAGTGGGATGGACTCTTACACCAGCAGCACAGCTGTCCAAGCCTGGTCACCACCTGGAAGGCAGGCAAATAAAAGGGGGATTGGAGAAGGAGCCAGGACACACACATTTAAATAGGATCTTTTATATAAATAAGCCCTGAGGAAGCAGATCTGTTTGAATGTAGTTGGAGGAGATCCTGTTTTCTACAGGGTCCTCTATGGAGACGCAGTGACCATTCAGGTGTGCCCACAAGGACAGTGATGGTGTTTGCTGCTCCATGAAGACCTCTGGTGTGTGCAGAAATGAATCTCCTGCTTTTAACATAAATGGAACCTGGTTTTAACACCCTGCTGAATGGTACATTTATGGCAGAAGAATAACTGTAGCAGAGGGTACAAAATGCTGTATTTAGAGACAAACTTGCCTGTCAGCTGGAGGTCTCTAAGTAATGAAGCTGCCACCTTAGACCCTCATCCCTCAGGAAAATGGGCAGCTGTACCAAGCCTGCAGTAAAGAAGTTGTGACAAGACCAGCTCTTGCCAGGCAGGCCTAGATTAAGAGTTCTTCCATCAGCTTCACATCACTGGCTTAGGAATGAGAGGAGAAGGAGAGAGGAAATCTGCCCATCCTAATAGAAATTACTGATGTCATGGCTGTGACACCATTTGCTTCAAAAAAGGGATAGAAAGCAAAACCATAGGGACATCTGAGTTTGTGGATGTAACTCCATCATTGTTGGTGATTATTACATCACAGTTTTATCAGAAAGAGATATGAGCTTTACCCCAGATCCATAGAGGTCACAAATTATTATTGGCTTTACTATAGGAAAACCTCTTTTTGAGCAGTAGGTTGCAACTTGCATTTACCATGTAAGGAGTAAAGACCCCAAAAAAACCCCCTGTGTGTTGCAAGAAATGCTGAAATTCCAATTAATAAGCGAGAGGTAAGGAGACTGAAAATGCACTTTCGCTGAAAACAAATGTTAATTCTCAGTTCCACAGTTAGCACTATGAGTGACAACAGTGACATGAGGAACAGATTGAATATAAATGGAACATGACCAACAGCAACATTTGAAGTGGCTTCTAAAAATGGGAACAGGAACTACAGAAGGTCAAGCAAAAAAGCTCAGTACTTTCCTGATGATGTATTACCACCACTTAAAATGGGCTTAAGCCACAAAAAATGTCAAGCGTGCAAAGCACAGGAAAGCCTTCTGCTGAACTCTGGGCTGAAACAAAGCTCTCATTTAGGCAGAAAGAATTTCTGTCAAAACAAACACTCCCAGTGTTACCTATCTTCCTGGGCACCCCTAATGGCCTTGGATTTCTAAACACAGGCCAGGAGCCTGTGAATAGCACAAGGAGAACTGTGTTCACTAGAAAGGGAGTGAAGCATCAGTCTGACAAAGCTCCCACCATGCTGCAGGACCAAGAGGGAAGATGCCTTCTCCTCCTGTGACTTTACAGGTAATCCATGGACTGAGGAACCTAGAGATAGTCCAGCTATCATATGACCACCCAGGACTGTAAATGATCCTCACTACCCAAGTCACTCACAGGCTGGAATCCTGCTTGTGCTTTGACAGTGATGAAGAGCATGATCCTACAGCTTTGAGAGTCACTGAGTCCAGCCTGGTGGAAATGCTGCCTCCTTCTGTTCTAAACCTTCATGTAGCTCAGCTCCAAATATTTCAGCTTTATTTAGAGGCAAACAGGAGGAGCCTCAACAGAAGTTACTTAGCTCTGAGCTGTCACCTGCACCCCCTGCCTTACTGCCCATAAAACAATGCAACACAAGCACTGTAGGCTTTGGGGCAAACAAAGAACTTTTATTCCAGGTTCTGCTGCAGATCCTTGCTATCCTGGCACAGAGAAGCCCTCTCTCCTCTCTGCTTTGACAAAGTCTTTTTTCACATGCAGCACTGACAATTGTGAAAATATTGTGCTGGAGTTCTGGACAGGCAGCTCCAAGAAAAGAGGCATTTTGAGGCTGTCCTGCATGTTACCCGTGGGTTTGCATAGAGCCCACTTACAGCTCTGGAAAATCTGCAGGGAACTCTGGCCACCCTTCCCACTGCTCACCTGAGGCTCTCACCCACATCTCTCACTTGGGAATCACAGAATCACATCATGGATAAGGTTGGGAGGGACCACAGTGCGTCATCTGGTCCAGCCTCCCTCAAGCAGAGTAATCCTAGAGTAATATTAACAGAATGGAAATGTTAAAACAGAGTGGAAGGGAGTGCAGATCAGGCAGCACAGTCTTTATCTGCTGTCCAAAAAGGGCTGAATCTGACAACCCATGCCCATGTCAGCATGGCTTTTAGTTTTCTTTGAAACATCTGGGGTTTTCCCAAGATAAGCGTGGAAAACACAAGTAATGGATCACTTTATATTTTCAAAACATATATATAAACACACATATAACATATATAAAAACACACGCACACACATATATATAAGGGTTGTCAGATTCAATCCCTTATGTATATGTTATATATATAAACATATATATATAAACACATATATATAATATATATATAAACACAAGCATGGGACCCTTATAAACATGGAAAACACAAGTAATGGATAACTTTATATTTTCAAAGCATTCCAACACACACTCAATAAATGTCAGCTGGACAATGAAAAGGCACAGTGCTGTGTATTTCTAGCTAGATTTGAGAGTGAAGTGAAATCTAATCATTGTTACTTCAAAAAGGGGAGTCTTATTGACATACTTTTTTTGACTTACCACAAGAAAAGAAAAATAGAAAGGTTGGACTGCCCAGGACACCCTCCAGACACAGTACAAGTGGAATGTATTTGTTGGGCACAGCATTTCAAGTGTTTAATCTATTTTATTCTTGATTTGAACTGCCAGCAATGAAATGTGAGACTGGGCTCTGAGAAGCAAAGATCAGGAAAAACCTTGAACAGTAAAGTGATGATAAATGGAGTAGAAATGGATAATAAATCACAATGGATTAACAGCAAGAATAATGCATGAGACTATCAAATTATGTGCAGTCATTTGCTGTGGAGCAATTACCTCCCACAGCATTTCCGATCCCGCAGCGAGTGCCAGCTCTATTGATTCAAGGTACCTTTATAATGTCAGGAGCTAAAAAAAAGTGTTTCCTTGCCTTGGGAAGGTGATTTTTGTTAATGCATTACTAGCAGATACTGCCACAGAATATGGAACAAAGCAACAGGAACACTGATAAATGCCAGGGCCAGGTCTACTACAACTGTGTTACTGGTACAAAAAAGCTGAAGAATATGCTGACCATGCTGATTAATTTATTTCCAGTTGTTACATTAGTTTTAGTTTCAGACTTGCTATTGCCTTCAGTTGAATAATTTTAAACTGTTTTCTTTCAGGTAGAATTTTAGAAGGGAATCTCTGCACTTCTATATTCATGAAATGTTAACCTGTGCTAAAAAGATGAGTCACTATATAACAACTGTTTGCCAAAAAAATACCAGATAAATAATCAATAAATGCAAAACATGATTTACTATCACCTGAGAAAAATTTACTGAGTTATCTGCTTGTGTGAGAGTATCAGCTAGCAGCTTAAAAAAAAAAAAAAGTTTCCTGGTACCCAGGTTAAGCACAAAGAGATGAAGTGTAATTTGCTCGTCCAGTTTTTGCATCTCTTCCCTTCAGTACAATATCTTTGCAGGCTTCAGGATTAAGGCTGGGGAGCTTTACATCAATGATACTGCATGTCTCATTTCTCTGCAAGCAAAGAGGTAGAGCTCAAAGCCTGAGTGTTCACATCCTTTAGGAAGCAGGCACATTGGTGGGACCTTAGTGTGCCCTTACACAGGAGCTACGTTCCTAAAGGGACATTATTGTGGTTATTGTGGTTGTATGTGGGCTCCCAATGGCCATGGATGGGCACAAAATGGAAGTGTAGGATTTGTCTTCTTGTTTTTGCCCAAGAAAAGAAAAATCTAAAAGAAAATGCTTTGGACATACATTTCAGTCACTGGACCACAGATCAGCAGCTGGAAAAGTCTGAATTAAAACTCAGATTGGCAATGCCTTCTAATGAAAATGTTATTGTTCCCATCTGCTGTAGCATTTTAGATGCCCAAAAGTCACAAAGTCAAAGCCATTTAAAATATTGCACAAACAAACAGAAGATAAAACTTACAGAGGCAAATACAGTTAAATCATTGTGCAAAGCCAAAAGTCTCTGCAAACACAGAGTTCTGAGAGGATTTATCCAGCTTCAGAAAATTAGAAGTGGTGGGGAAGTTCTCACAGCATGTACAGCTCAAATTCAACTACATCTCATTGCCTGGAAGTCCTGTGGCTGAGCAGGTGAACTTTTAAACTCCCTGCCACTTCAAAAACAGTCTTTCTGTAATATGAATACACTGTGGCTTAAGGAGGTATAGGGTATAGATTACCTTTTCTCTAGCCTTTCCCTCTGATTTCTGCAGGGAACCTGCTGCTCTGGGCTCATCCTTTTCAAGGCTTCTCTGTCCACAAGCACCACTTTGAAAAGGAGCACAGTGACTGGGAAGGGAAAAGCAGATTGAAATGTGCTTGAAGGCATGAAACTGGCAAAGCTGCCTAAGGCAGAGCAAGGTGAAGCTTTAGCTGTGTTGAGACATCAGTGGGAAACCACACAGTGCCAAGCTGCTGAGGGAGCTGGGCAGCAGGCACTGATGGAGGCCGTGTCTCCACTACACCCTGCAGTTTGCTGTAGAGTTACTGGTGCTTTTTAGAGGTTGGGTACCAAAGGGAAATGGTTTAATGCCTATAGATACACAAAGGGAAAGCATTTAAGTCAGCCCTAAAGGTACAGCGGGAAGCCCCTCTGGCAGAATTGTGCACATCCCCTCCAGCTCTGGATGTCATAAAAGACACCCCCACCTTTCCATTGTTGTTCATTCTTAACTGAGCTCCTTTGTGCTCACCAGGTGTGGTCTTCAGTGGTATCATCTTTGTAACTGTGCAGGATGTGATCTGCTTGAGAGAGTAATCACAGCTGGTGAGGAGGCTGCAGTCTGTTCCCTTTAAATATTGCAAAAATTTGCTTTTAGAGCACATGAACATGGGAGGGAAAGAACTTCACTTTACACTGCAGGAAAAGCTAGAGAGTCAGTCTCTGCATCCTCCTGGGAAACAGGAAATTTAAAAAATCATTGATGGGATGGAGTAGCAAGGCCATGTTAATGTGACATGGAATGATCAGCAGCACTGTGTCAGCATAGCCATGGCTGAAAGTGTAGAACAAGAACTGACACAAATTTATTTACATACTTGCATCTGTGAAAACTAGGTTTATTAAAGGGATAATGAAAGTTATCTTGTAGAGTATTTGAATAGGGAAACCAGTATTAGCTGTGCTAATGAAATATCACTTTTGATAATTTAAACTGCATCTTTCCTACTGCCTGGAGAAATTAAGGGTTCTTGCTGTCAAAGACAGCATACTGTGGTTTTGGGGTAAAAAATGCCCATGGAAAGGGTGTTGTTAAGAAGAAAAATATTTGGAGTAGAGATACTGCTGATGAAAGAGGGGAACAATTCAAACAAGGAAGAAGAGAAGGAACAGAGCAGCATTCTTCTTACATTCCTTTAGCAGCCTCTTCTTCGGTGCCCAGTCACTCATTTGGGAAGGTGTTTTCTGCTCTCTTGGATATCCCTTCTCTCTCACCCTCTGCAATATGGCATCTCCCAAACCTCTCAGCAGAATGCTCTGCTGGCTTAACTTTGATGGGATAAATGGGATACAGTGTCCAAAGTGGAAACATGACCCTGCTACAGCTGAATGTATTTACAGTGAACTGACAATAAGGAGAGGAGAGCCCAGCTGCTCCTAGGGTGACAACCTTCATTATGTATCTTCAATTTGTTATTTAAAAGCCTCTAAACAGGCAGCTAGAATGGATCATCTGAAGTGCTTACCAGCACTTTTATTGGAACAATATCACATATCATTTCTTCCAAGCTGCAGAAAATATTAAAACCTTCTTTGGCATGGCTTTCAGGATGGTTAATGATAAGAATGAGCATGGCTTTAGGATACATAAGGAGGAAATGAGTAAAAAACCTCTAGGGCTCCATTGCTGTAGCTGAAGTGCAATTCTGTTCCCATGAAGAAAAAACAGACCTAGAAGGGACAGACCCCTTGGCTTTGTTTTCACCAGAGGACAGGTGTGATCCACGGGGTTCAGAGAGAAAGGAAAACACTGGGAGCAACAGGAGGCAGGGCAAGAAGCAAGACAGGGGCTCAGCCCTTGAATTTCAGATTGTCCTGAAGGACTTGGCCAAAGCCCCCCCCTTGTCTGGGTCTCCTTGGTGCTGCTGGGATGGCAGATTTCCTCACATCCAGAGGAAAATGGTGGAAACAGACACCCTCACTGGGTAACATAATCCACCTCTCACTGGGCTGGGCCCATCCCAGCACCCCAGCCAGGAGCCACACATGGGGACACATCCCTGGGGATGGGGACAGCCTGGGACATGGGCACGGCTCGGTGGGACCCAGGGCCAAGGAGGGCAGGGCTGGGGGGCTGGAGGGGCAGCAGCTGACAGCCTGGGGGCTGATGTGGGGTCCTGGGACCCAGTAGGCTGGGGAGACCAGTGTGGCTGACAGGGCCAGGGAGGCTGTGAATGCCCTCAGAGGCTTTGATGCTTTTTTCCCTTCATGTTCTCTGGGATTTTAAAATTATTTTGCTGTTCCTCTTGAAATTTTTCACATCTTTTTTTCAGTTGTGATGAGTACATGACAGGTCAGCAGGTGGTTCTTCCCCACCTGACCTGGAGACAGTGGGTCCAGTTGGCACCCACTAGATTTTTCCTTTTCCTTTTCCTTCCCTTATTCCAGAAGCCTCCAGGGAGGTGCAGGGACAACCAACCTTTGGTCCAGGCACTGCTCAGCCCCCAGCATCAGCCTGAGGCAGTGGTGTGAAAGTGAGCAGGAATGGAGGGAGGATGGACCATGGAGCAGGTATTGACACATGGACTTCCTGCAGTAGAGGTGTCAGAGCTCCATTACTGTGGAAATATAATAGAGACAATATTTGGGGGAGAGAAGGATTACTCTAAAGCACTAGGTTGCTTATTCTTCCAGTTATTTCAAGTGCTGTAATAAAAGCAGATGCATACTGCCAGCCTGAGGTGAGTAAAGTGTAAACAAGGAGCTGCAGTGTGGTGCCTGCACTACCCCCATGTGAATACACCAACCCATGTCATTTATTTATGCATTTAGATTTGCTGAATTTCCTTCTCCTTTCTCCCTGCTGCCCTCACTGCCTGCAGGACCTTCACTCCTCTTTGCTGCCGTGTTGGCTCTGGCTGCCTGCCCCTGCCTGGCCTGGCAGGGCGGGACAGGGTCCCCAGCCCCGCTGCCACCACCCCAGGACCTTGGGAATGCTTCAGAGGTGGCTGTGGAAATTTAGCAGTGTGATGGCTTTCATGGGAAGGATCAGTTAATTAAGTTATTAAATATTTCCTGATATCTAGTGGGCAAAATTAGACAATCACCTTTATTGGAAGTATTTCAAAAAGAGCTTCTCTGCTGTTCCCACTTTTTTCTCTTTCACACAGAGCCCAGCACTTTAAAGCACCGTTTCAAGCTTTAAACTAGCTTGTGTTATGTTTTGGTTCACCTTGTGGTTTGCTGTACCAATTCTGCTCTAAAATAATCCCAAAATAATTTCCTTTTTCTCCTTCTCTACTACTGCACCTGCTATCAGGAGTGCATCAGCATCTCTTTGGTTGCTTTCACCTATCTTACAAAGCAAAAAGTCTTACCCATAAACATAAAGAATTTAATTTGAACAATTAACAAAAAACAACTTAACTGGAACCCACTGCCGTAATTTTAACTTTTCTCCCAGTAAGTAGTTTGGGGAAATAGTGGCAGCTGGAGGCAGTGATGATTTGGTTTATTTTTCCAAAAGGGACTGAGTCTGGCTGAGTCATCCTAAAAGGCTTTCCAAATAAGGTCTGATTAAAAAGCTGGAAAATGTAGTTCCCTATAATTGCAGAGCAACTGAATTTCTATTACCTTTGAAAATAATTCAGTGCTTAGGAATACATATTGGAGAGTTATATCATAGGCTCTGTAACAAACATTTAAATGGTAAGTTTTCCTTCATTATTTTGTGAATCATTCTTCTAATTATTATTATTTTTATTAGATTCCTCTGTTGGAAAAGTGTAAAGTCATTTTCAAATAGAATTTGCAAATAACTTAATTTTAAATTCAAATAAAAGATGGTTAAAACCCCAAACTCATTGCTCTGAAAATCAGTACATGCATTTTGAGGATTAGAATGAGACACCATGTATTAATTCAAAATTTTTAACTCTAGTGGCTGAGACTTCACATTTTCAGACTCTCTCAAATATGAAGAAAATTTCTATTCTTTAAAATATCGTAAAGAAATGTTTTAAATTCCTTACAACCAAATAATTCCTGGAAGCTTTAGAGAAAACATTTGTCATGGGAACACTTGCTAAGAGTTTCAAAAATGCAAAGCAGGTCTCATTGATTTGTAAGTGTTACTTAAAGCAAAAAATATCTGTATCTACATCTGGGATTTCTTGAAAAAAACCCAACAACCAACACACCCCCACCCCAAACTAAAAATGAACAAAAAACCATAAAAAGGAAACCAAAAAAAAGTGAACCTGGAAAAGTCCCAGCCTTTTCAAACAACTCTGGTGTTCTTCTCATGCAGTTATTGATCTGGTGGTATTTCAAAGACTGGGGGCTTGTCAGGTCCTTTGAAGTTCCTCCCCTGATGCATTTTAGTTATAAATTTCAATTTTCAAGTGTGGTACTGCTACGTCAGAATATTCATTATTCTCTTCTCTGCTATTTTGGTACTTTATTCATAAACTTAATTTCAAAATTAGGTAAAAAAGTAGTCTTTTCTATAAAGATAGCCTTCTGGGGAGCTCTTTCATTTGCTTGCTTGTTTGTTTGCTCAGGGGGCCATCTTTAGCTGGAGCTGCCAAGTCCTCTTCTCCCATAATTAAAATGTACGTTTGGAAGAAAAGGAAAGTATGTAGTGGTTTGTTTATTCAGGAGAAAATGTTTGATTTAATTTAACAGATTATATTTTTGAAATGGAACAGGGACAAAAATAGATCCTGAGCCAAATTCAGCCTTGAGCTGCATCCTGCTTAAGCGCTGCTGGGGCCACGCTGGGGAGCAGGTCCCTGAGAAAGGGAGGTTGTGGTGGGGTTGTGTTCCATCTCTGCAGGAACATGAGGGGAGATGAAAATAGAGATAAAGTAGAGATTAAAATGCTCCAATAGCTAGGAAAACTGCCCTTTGGTCTGCTTTTCTGCCAGCTTCAACCTCTGCCCTTGCCAAGGGGATGAGCTGGGGAATGTTCTCTGCACATGTGGTACCCCCGTGGTGGGGAGGCTCCCAGGCTGCGAGTGACTGTGGAGAGCCTGCCATCCTTCCTGTCCTTCCTTCCCAACTCCTGATCTTCAGGAACTCAGCAGCAAGTGAGAGCTGGGGGGTGGGGAAGAGTGCAGACAATTAGCATTGGTCTTTAGGTCTCTTCTAAATAAGCCCAAACCCCAATTAAAGGATTTAAATTATTGGGAGACATAGCTGCATATTTCAGGAAATTAGGATATTTCCGTCAATTAGAAAATAAAAAAGAGAAAGGAAATAAAAGTTTTCCCAGTGTTAGTCATCTACTATGCATTGTCATGATTCAGCTTTTCCCTTTTTTGGGGTGGAATGAGATGAGAATGGGGCATTTAATGTTTTTAGAGCTGGACATCCTAGAAGGGGAAACTGATAGCAGTGTCCAGTGCAGGGGGAAATTTCTCTACTGCTCACTGAGAAAGACAGCCACTGTTGAGGATGCTTCTGTTCAAGCTCTGTAATTCTAACATTTCAAAGGTTTGGTCTTTTGATCCTCATTTCAATCCCTTCTTTACATGAGGCAAAACACTGAACAACAGCAGGTGCAGAGGTTAGAATAAAAAGCCAGGGATAAAAATGAGATATTACATAAAGTATTTTTCTGGTCTACAGCCATTTGCAGCTTGGGACCACCCTAGATGGAAGGGGTGATTAATATTAAACAGTATTTGATGGCTTTTTCTTCCCTTTTTTGTCCAATTGGTCTCTCAACATATAACAGCTTTCCAGACTCCTGGTGTCCTGTGACAAGGAGCTTTACAACTCAGTGGTGTAAGGTGTTAAGAAGTACTTTCCACTGCTTTAACTATTTTGTTTCATGCCTTGTGATTTTTTGTGTTCTAAGAGAAAGTTATTATCTGCTTTTATTTTCTGCATCAATGATGATTTTATCAGCCTCTGCCATTAAGTCCCCTGCCACTTTAATTTCTTTTCCCTGAGGGACAGATGACCTGGAAAATGGAAGGGTATGAAATCCTCCCAGGTACATTTAGCAGAACAAACAAACTGTCTCTCTGTAAAAGCAAAAGCAACAGCCTTAGTCTGCACCACAGAGCCTTTCTTGAAGGAGGAACACCTTTGTGCAGGGTAACACTCAAATTTGAGTTCTAAAAGCATGACCTTGACCTCCTGCCAGTCTAGTTGAACCAGCTTTACAAGTATTATAAATCCTGGGCTGGTTCAAAGCTTTTGAACAACTACACTTTGTTTTGAATCACATGCAGCAACAGAACTTTCTCACTGCATTCCCAGGACTACTTTAGGGACAAATTCAAACTTTGGGGAAATAAAATATTACTTTTAAGTTTTTTAGATAAAGCGTCTATATCAGGAAAGTATTTTTAATACTAGCAGCTAGTGTTTCTCCTCTGGCTTTTCTTTCTTTAGTATTAGCTGACCTTATTTCTCATCGAACTGCAGCTGCTCTCCAGTATGGGTGGGGGCTCTGTTTTCCAGCTCTATTTAGGATATGCAGGAATGTGAAGGTATTAGGAAGGTCTGATGCTATTAGGCAATGGTTCTACTGCCCCACCTGCAGGCCTTGTGGCTTATCTTTAAACCTGCTTTGTTTTAACCAAAGAATTCTGCATTTCAGGGGCAGAGGTATGTTCAAACTGTGTCGTGACATAAGTGGAATTGAAGACCTGACAAGAGATTTTCTTTTTCTTTGGTTTGGGAATAATTTTACATTGGAAAAAGTTAAAACACTTGCATTACACCTGTAAACTGCAATATTTTGTCCAACTACAGGTGTTTTCCGGCATCACTCTGCAGTTCTGGGTTACTCTGATTACATCTGCAAGTGCCTAAGATGAGTCTGGAGAAAGGGCTTGCAGGGATTGTAAGATAAAACCAGTCCTTGCTTCCCTGCAGCGGGACTCCTGCATGAGACCCCAGAGTGAAGCCACACTTTATCTCAGACACAGCTGAGGAGAAGCACAAGGACAGAAAGGAGGAGGGGCCAGCTGGGAAGCACTAAACAAATCAGCCTGCATGCCCACACCTCATTCTAGTCAAATGGCCTTGGAATGTGTTTACAGACAAAAGAGCTGTGGATTGTGCTGTTTGGCTGTGCTGGGAATTACTGTGAAATCAGTGTAGAAAGCCTGGGCTAGTTTATTAGCTTCACAAGTCTCAGCAAGTTATTTTGCTTTTTAAGAAAATATTATTGTGCTAAGAGACTTTGATAGTGGGGCCTTTTTATGTAACATTACATTTACTGCTGGTCTTATTCTGGTAACAAGCAAAGTACAAGGAACCAGCACATGGCAAAGCAAAGCCACAAACCCCTCTGACTCTGCATCTGCCTGCGAAACAGGACTGGCAGCTGGATGAGAAATCTGATCTTGCCCACAAGGGAGATAAATGTATTTCAGACTCAGGGCTGCAGCGAGGTGCTCTCATTGTTGCAGTCAGGTCTGGTAGAGATGCCCGTGCTGCCCTTGGCTGAGCCCGCTGGCAGGAGGTGCAGGGTGAGGAGCACTGGCACTGCCTGCCAGCTCTGATGGTGGCTCACAGGTGCATTTCCTGTGCTGGCTCAGGGTATGCTGTCTAACAGGCAGGAAGGCTTGCAGAGCACAAACACCCAGCACCCCATTGCCTATCTTTGCAAGCAGCTCTCACCCAGATGATCCCTGAGACCTGCCTTGCTTATGCTGCTAATTAGACTTCTAGTCCTCTAGCCAACAACCAGCACAGCCTCTGCCAAGAATCAATAAAATGCAAAGCAGCCTGCAGCCAATATGCAGCCCATTAGATACCAGATCCTCATGCCAGGCTGCTTTCCTGTATCAGCATACTATGAAACCTGAGAGGAATATCTGAAAAGGAATCACTGCCTCTAAGGCCTTACATCTATGTGCAGTGTCCTTGGGACATGGCTTTCCAGAATGGGATGTGATCAGAAACTGAGGAACCTGCCATGAGCTGACTCTTGCTATCCCTCAGAGCCATGCTGCTCCTGGCACAAGAGATTTCTGCGCAGCCTCAAAGACAAAATGTGCCCACTGTGACTGTGAGCCCTCTCCCAAATTTACATGGTCTCAGTGTAAAACCTTTTTATTCAGTAATTTAAACATCTCCACAGTGTACATGTTACCATATTTATTGCTGTTTGCTTTTTCTACTTTACTTGTACTTTAGGGATACTTTAATTGCATTCTGTTTGTGTGTAGGAGTATTTCTATGAACACTTTGTGTTTCTCATGGAGAATTCACAAAGCATTTTCAGGACAGCCTTTGTATGGATTATGAACCTATCTTGGCCTTGTACCCCAGCACTTAATTGCATTGCAAGGGTTCCATACTGCCAGAGTTTCATACCGCCTCGATATTTCATGTAGGCAGTTCCTCTGGGCACCGACTCTCCCTCATCCTCACAGCAGCCAACAAACTCCAGTTCCCACCAATCCACTCTTTTATAATACTCTTCTGATTGGCTACAGGTGTGGCCTGTTAACATCAGGCCTGCTCCTAATCTTTAGTAATTGGTTCAGCTGCAGCTCCTTAGGGGATAAGATTACATTCTATACTACCTTCATTTACCTATACTGTGTCCCCCTACACTTAATATCCACAGGCCACCAAAAGCACAACAGGCTGCACTGATAGTTCCTAACACAAATGTGTGCAGCAATGAGGTGAATGCACCCATAGAATGTGTCCCACATGGTCAGTTTTTCAGAAGGGACACCAAAACCCCTGGAAATTCATTGAGTCTTCATGTCCTTGCCAAGGCACAGTTGTCTCTTTTGCTTTCCTACGTGCTGTGCAGGATGCAGTGCAAATTATGACCTGAAACAGATACTGGTCTGTTTTCTTAATATTCTTGTTAACACTTGCTGTGTACAGCTCATCTTCCCAGGCACTTTCAGTCTTCAGGGAGGAGAGTTAAGTAACTTTTGCTCTGTGGGGCAGTAGAAGCCTTCATTGCTTTCTGCAGGAAAGGATGATGTGCTCTTGTCTCAGGATAAGTGCAGGAAGGCTGGTTTGGTTACCATGCCTCAGACAGAAGAGGTTATGGTGCTTTGGGCTCCCACAGTGTGAGGACAAGCCCACATGTGGGAAGCTCACATGACCCTGTACTTAATATCTACCTGCTCTGTGACATTCATTCTCCCTTGAAGAAAGTACCTGAGAAATCTTGAGGCACAAGCAGTGGTATTTGGTGCCTCAACATGATCACAGCATGTAGAGCTGCCATGCCCACAGCCATCTGCTGGAAGTGTGAAAATATCACCTGAGCAGTCAGGTGGGGTGGGGATAGGAGAGCCCATAGAATGATGTGAAGTTGCCTCTGCCATGTACTCCAACAAGACTTGCTGAGCAATCCTTCAGGATGCAGAACACAGCATAACACAGAGACATCACTGCACCAAGCACATACATGATGGAAAATCCTCAATGCATTCCTAGGAAAACAGTGAGAAGCTCTTCTGTAAAAGGTTTTTCTAATGGGGTGCTCCATTTCATGTCAGATAGTGGGAACTTAAGGAAATAATTTTGAAAATACGCCCACTCAGGCACGCAAGGCAGCCTGGAATTAGGTAACATTCCTGCCCTTGGGGTGAACTGTGTATGCCTCAGTATCTGACCTTTTAACAGTATTTTTGGGGGGAGACACACAGAACAGGAAAGACAGCGAAGGAGAATTCCTCTCTTCAGCACTTTGTCAAGTGTGGTTCTGCATTAGAGCTGCAACATTTCTGCTGTTAGTAAAGGAGGAAGGAAAAGAAAGTGAGGCAGCCCTCGCAGCTGGTTCTCCTCTACCCTGGCTAATGTTTGCCTGGGAGCAGGGAGAATCATTAACTGCCCCAGACAAGTTTTACTGCCTCAAGGTCACAGAGTGATGGTGCACTGAAAGGCCACAGAATTGCAGCAAAGCAAGTCCCTTGGTGCTGGGGAGACCAGAGCACTTTGTCCAGGAAAGGCAGAGCTCTGTGCACACCTATAAAGATGCATCCAGGTTTGCTCCTGGGATCTTTCATCTGTGATGCTGACATGGCACAAGGACATGAATGGGGGACCTTCTAAAACCAGCTTCTTATTTATTTGTTATTTATTATTTTATTTTAATTTTTATAATTTATTGCCGTTCCAGGGGAGAAATTAGCCCTAGATGTTAAACATAAGTTATCGCTTACTAAATTTCTGACATCCTAGTCTAGTAGTTTCCACAACCTTGTTTTCCTTGTGGATAGTACGCTCCCTGTTCTCTGGCTGGTACCTGTGTTGCTGGGAGGACTAAACCCAGCACTCCCCCATGAACACCTGGCAGCTCCCTCACTTGCAGTGTGATTAATGAAACCTCTCCTCCTGACTGACAACAAGAAACTTGTCTACTTTCTCCCTGCCCTTGAGCACATGCAGAACCTTTATCTGAGGTGACTTTTTTCTTGTAGCCCACAAAGCACAAGCAAGGCTTGTCCTCTCAGTGTGTGACTCACTTTTTGGCCCTGTTTCTCACTCCCCAGGCCAGGTGAAGATAAAGAGAGTTTGTGGAGGAGGAAGGCAGATTCCAACTCCACAGCTCCAACCACAGGCCCTCACCAACAAACAGGTAGGTGCTGCCCTCCCCTGAGGACATATCCTCTTCTATCTCCCTTGATTATGAGTCAAACTCCACCTATTCCCCCTGGCAGTGCTGGCATCCTGTTTCCAGGACAGAGGTCTGCTGCTTTCAGCTGTGCCTGAGGTCCTTGAGCCAAGGACAAGTCACAGCACGGCAAGCACAGCTGCTCTGCAGTGTCCTGGGCTCAGGGCTTCTTTCTGCAAACACCAGACAAAGTCACAGTACCTTCCTCCCCACTCACCTTCCTCCTCCTTTCCTTAGAACATGACCTGGTGCATGGAATCCTATTGTAAATGTAGGTCTACTGACGTGGGGAGAGAATGATGCATCTGACTCCATGTTCTCAGAAGGCTAATTAATTATTTTATTATACTACATTATATTAAAGAATTCTATAGTATACTATACTAAAGAATACGGATAATCATGAAAACTCGTGACTCTCTCCAGAGTCCCGACGCAGCTTGGCCCCAATTGGTCAATGAGTCAAATCAACTCACATCAGATTCCAATCAGGCAATCACCTTTGGGTAAACAATCTCCAAACACATTCCACATGAGCAAAACACAGGAGAAGCAAATGAGATAAGAAATGTTTTCCTTTTCTCTGAGGCCTTTCAGCTTCCCAGGAGAAAAATCCTGAGTGAAGAAATTTTTCTAGAGAATGTGAATGCCACAGTATCCATGTGCAGCAACATCCATCCATCCCTCAGTCTTAGAATTTACAAACTTAAAGGTCAGTAGATTTCATTTGGCATGAGCAGGAAAAACACACACCAACCTTGCAGAGAGACAGATATGTTACCCTGCACAGGTTTCCTTTCTGCAATGTAAGCACAACCCTGAATTTTTCATGCTTCTGCTCACCCGCTTTTTTGCTGCAAGAAAGCTAGAGCTGTTAAAATGCTTCCAGCATGCAGTGCCCTCAGTATAATGTAATTAACATTTTGACCACTGGATGCTACTCTTGCTCCAAACATCTGCACAAGGCACTGCAGGGTGAAGACTTACTGGCAGTGCAATCTTGTAATTTTTTAACCTAGAACCTAGTTAAATCAGTCAGCGACCTGTGAAGAGGTGTTTATTGCCTGCCCATCAACTGAAGATGAATCGTTAGGGAGTCGTTATGGGGATATAAAGGAATGTCTGCATCAGCTACACACAAGCAGATGATTAAATTAATGGTAATGGACTGAGATTTTAGTAGTGAAGTAGTGATTTTTCAAACTCTTAGGCCTGGGATTTCTAGCACATTGGCTGAGACAAGAAATGGTTTTGTATGCATTATACCAGTGGTGCCCAAAGCCCAGAAATAAACCACAATTTTTAGGTACATTTGACAATTTATGCTGTTCTCTACTCACCATCACACCTAGAACAGTTAGTAAGCCTTATGTGTAAGCAGGTTCTTTCACCTTTACTACCACTACTATTATTATTATTATTATTGTTATCATCATCAGCAAACATTCTTGAACATTTACCATTTTCTACTTGTTTTGCTCTCTCCTACATGCCTCCCCCCAGCCTTTCTGCATGGCTCCCACACATTTTGTCCCTGCTGCTTTCACTGATGTGAAGTAAAGCCTTCCCATCAGATGAGCACGTTGCTATGGTTGAGATATGCCCAGAGCAATTCATCATTTATTGATTGGTACCTCTGTGAAATAGTTCCTTTGTGCACACTGTGTTGCAGGAGCTCCTGTGTTCATCTTCCCCAGAGGAGGAGGAAAGCCTTTTAAAGATGCATGATAGTTTGTCCAGCCTGGGCACCCTGTGGGTAGCTGATCCATCCTCCTCCAGGTGGACTCAGCCTACACCCTATACAAGCTGAAAGAAATTCTGTACATTTATCTTTTCTTGCACAAAGATGAATTCTGCTGCTCTCAGTGTTTTCTTTTGATTCTTCACATATTGCAGGACACATCCAGGAACAGTTCCCAGAGCAAGGCAGTGTTTTCTCACAGTATAATTCCGTCTCAAGACCCAGTAACTTACTTACATGTTGCCTTGTCATCCACAGTTCCAGTATCTGCGAGCAGGCATGTAGAAGAACAGGTTTTGCGCACTTTTCTGAGATCCTCACGTGATCTCTGGGCCAGTTTGCCGTCTCTGTAAATACACCTTGCTTGAAATCAGAGGTAAAGCAAACTCCTGTTCAAGACATGAAAAGTATGAATCCCCACAGACAGTACCTAAATAGGGAACAACTCAAGGGTGATTCACACTGCCTAAATGTAAATGTTTAATGCTCCTAGAGGGGTGAGCCAACTGATACATGGCAGAAAACGAATCCAGGAAGAAATGAAACTCCTGATAAAAATGCTGGTTTCTGAATGTTTGTGTGTTGAATGGCAAATGGAATACTTAATCACTCTGCATACCAGTGCAGCATATTTTTATTAAAACCAAAGCCAATCAAACAAAATATGCTTTCTCTTTTTGACTCAGTGTTATCACTTCCAAAGTGGCCAGAACCACTTCCTTTATCTCATCCTGATAAATTCTTAGAGAATAGATACTTAAAATAGTTTATTTATCAAACTTCCTCTCCCTCAATTTTGTTTCTACCTTTTCTCTGAAAGACTGCTAGTGGGCTGACATGATATTTTAACATAGAAAATGTGGGAGCTTTTTAAACTAACGTGTAAAAGTTCTTTCATATTTGAACCTGCTGATCTAACTCTGCTTGCATGTAGGACAGAGCAATCTACAGCTGTTACTACACACTTGCCTGTTGTCATGATTTATACTCCAGATTAAGGTGTGGGATGATAAAT